GAACAGCTAGAGGTACGTCCTGTGTGATCGAGGATATTAAGGCTCTTACCAAGAGGCAGTCCCGATCATTCTTACACAAGCTACCACTGCTATATCCTAACTGACTTAAATTGTATCTTAGTTTATATAACAGTTCAAGACATAGAAATATCCATCGAAGTTTACAGTGTAGGGATTTAGCAGTAGTTTGCTTTTAGAGTATAGGGTTTTAGCAGTGGTTTGCTTTTAGGGTGCACGCTTTTAGCAGTGGTTTGCTTTTAGGGTGTAGGGTTTTAGCAGTGGTTTGCTTTTAGGGTGTAGGGTTTTGGCAGTGGTTTGCTTTTAGGGTGTAGGGTTTTAGCAGTGGCTTGCTTTTAGAGTGTAGGGTTTTAGCAGTGGTTTGCTTTTAGAGTGTAGGGTTTTAACAGTGGTTTGCTTTTAGAGTGTACGGTTTTAGCAGTGGTTTGCTTTTATAGTGTAGGGGTTAAGCAATAGTTTACTTTGGCTCTGTGGTTTTAGCTTTTAGGGTTTTAGTAGTGGTTTACTTTGGCTCTATGTTGTTTGGGTTAGAGTTGCTGTCTGTGACCTCCCTGGCCGCCGATTTTCATTGACAGATGACACGTCATTTTCATTGACAGCTGTCACGTCATCTTCACTGACAGGTGTCATGTCGTCCTTCTTGACAGCTGTCTGCTGGGCTGCTCCTTCAGGTTCAGTGTTCCTTGGTTGGGTTATTGCCATACCTTCCCTGTCACGTGCGCCTCCCTCGTCAGTGACAGGTGACCGTTGGCCGCACCACCACTTGTCATCCCTCCTGCCCAGGTGCGGTCCTGTCCTTGTCTGTAGATGGTAGCTCGGTTATCCCATTGGTTTCGTCTGTGTCCGTACTTCGGGCCATGTTGTCCTCTTTCACAGTTATTGGACCGTCTCCGGGGACAGGCCGGTCACTCAGTCGGTTTTCCCATCGTCTCCGGCGGTGCTACACTCTCCGTGTGTGTGTGTGGGTGCTCGTTGGCATTCTGCGCTTCACACGTGTCGTCTGTCTGCTCGCCCTGATCATTTACTACACCACACCCCCCGTCTACCCCCCTATCCCTCTGTGTGGTCGTGCCTCTATTCTTCTCCGTCGTCTGTGGTGTGTGTGGTTTGTCTTGTGTGTGTGGTTCGTGTTGTGTGTGTGGTTCGTGTTGTGTGTGTGGTGCGTATTGTGTGCGTGGTTGTATGTCCCTATCATTGTATTCACCCTGTCTGTCTCTATGTGTACAGTCGCCTTCGTCTGCTGTGCATGGGTCTACTTGGTTTTGAGTAGCGAGTAGACTTTCCTGATCCCTTTGATCCCGGGGCAAAGCTCCATCCTCGACTGTCGTGTTTTCCAGGTTTTGGGCCCCGTCACCCGTGCTATTATTAGGGTCCACTTCATTTCTATTTCTAGCAACTTCCATATTAGTCTGCTCCTGCTCCTCGCGCCAGCTCCACGGTGACAGACGCATAAACCTGTCGATCAAAGGCGACGCCAGTGACTCTCTTCTGACCTGCACTTCCTCGTCCTTCCCAGTCGCCACCGTCCCGGTTTGATTCTGGGACATCCTACCTACACCCTCCCCTCCCCAGGCCGTATCCAGACTCCCGGCACTGAGGCTTTCGGTTATAAGCGCGATGTTGTGTGCCCGTGGCTCTTCGTACGCGTGTTGTGGCTGTCCATGCCCTCCCCCACTGATGGTGTTGCCCATGTCACGTATGAGACTTGACCCTCTCAACGCAAAGCTAACGACCGACCCACTCGAAGCGCGCGCGCGTGTGTGTGTGTGTGTGTCCGTGTGTTCGTCTGCCAGGGACGGTGTGTGCAGGTGTGACTGTGTGCGTGCCATGGCTGTGTCTGTATCGACCCCCCTGCCTTTCCCTGTGACCATCATCCGCACAGGTGCTGAGTGGTTGGAATGCATCGTCGTTGTGTGGTGGTTACTGTGTGCATGTGGCTGTGTGCTGTCTGGTGCTTGTGGGCTAGGGGAGGGTGGTGTGTGGGTGTTCTGCTGGTGTTCTATTTTTAGACACTCGATGGGAGCGGATGCGGTGGTCTGTTGGTGTACGGGCGTATGGGTTGCCAACCAGTCGATGTCGTAGAAGTAGTTGAGCAGTGATGCCGCCTCCGCACTCCTAAGTGAGTAGGTAAGGTATCTATATTTAGAAATCTATTTATAGTTCGGCGGGGGACGTTAAGCTCACGCCATACCTTCGTACTACTTGAAACCTTGGCAAGTCAGATGCACGTGCACAGAGAGACGCAGTTTAGGGTTTAGGGTTTATCCAACAAAGTGCCAAACGGTAGCGAACAGCAACGAACGTGTTGGAGAACAAACACGTAACACGTGCACAGTAACATATCACATGACACGTGACACATGCACAGTAACATATCACATGACCAGGGGCAGAACAACGTACAAATACCGTGTGATATGTCATGTGCACGCGCGATAAACGGCACAGCAACCCAACACACATCACTCTCGCACAGCCACACGATGAGGTGTCGTCTCGCTGGGGAAGAGTATAGGGTTTAGGGTGTAGTGTTTAGGGTTTTCTCAAACCCTAAACCCTAGATACGCCACACGGTAGGTAACTGACCGGTGGGTGCACTTACTGGTGTCTGAGATGGGCCACGGCCTTCCGCGCGTCTTCCAGTTTGACTTTGAGACTGTCCAAATGCTGTGCAGCGGACAGTACAAACAGCACCCGCAGTTAGTTAGGGGAGATCCAGGAGAGCAGGCGTCGCAGGCGAGGTTAGGGGTACAAAAGTAGGTAGACTACACACCCATGAAACCCTTAAGCTCTAGAACCCTAAAAATCTAAAACCCTGAAGACACCTACACAACTACTACTTATTGATGGAAATATTGGTGGTATGGTTTCAAGACTTCTATATATATAT